AGTAGTAGCAGCAGCAGCAGTAGTAGTAGTAGCAGCAGCAGTCCTAGTAGTAGTAGTACTAGTGGTCGTGGTAGAAGTAGTAGTAGCAGCAGCAGCAGTAGTAGTAGTAGTAGTACTAGTACTAGTACTAGTTGAAGGAGGAGGAGTAGTAGTAGTAGTAGTAGTAGTGGTGCACACAAAGGCATATAATTAGTGCACACAACCAGAGACATAATTGGTGCACATATTAGTGCACATACCAAAATGACAGGATCAGATAAGCATACATTTTGACAAAATTCCAGGTGTATTTGGACAGCCTTGCGCGGATCTTCTGGCCCAGCGAGCGCGATTCTGATTCATCCGCAATGAACGGGACCCGTGGAAGACCGTGCAAGCACAAAGACGTGTTTTTTTGAGCTATCCTGTCTATGGTTTCTAGCCTGTTCTATCCTACTCGTATCTATCTCAATCGTTTTTTTCCCGAATGCGTAGCAAGGGTTCCCGTTTCAGTCTGGGGGTCTGGGGGCTGAGGGTGTGTTCGCTCGACGTTGCGTTTACGTCCGCAACCGTTCGCAACCGTCCGCAACGGTTCGCAACCGTCCGCAACCGTCCGCAACCGTCCGCGCGATTGCTAAATGGCCGTGCCTATGGTAAGTTCTGCAGAAGGGGTCCTTTTTTTTGGAGGTTTCACATGTGGCGTTGCTTCGTTTCGCGTGGCAGGCGTGGCACTTCGTGACATTCAGACGTGTTTCGTAACGTGTTGAAAGTGGTTTTGTGTGACAGGCGCAATACTTTTGCGACGTTTTCAGAAGATGCGTTGCATTTTTCGTGGCAGGCGCAGCACTTTGGACGTGTCCATCGTCATTTGGCGTGGCAGGCGCAGCACTTTAGACGTGTCATGTTGCGTGTTTTTGCGAATCGCAATGGTAGGGCTGTGTCAGGTGGCGACAAGGTGCAAATTCCGTGGTAGGCGTGGCGTTTTGTGAGATGTGATGAAAACTGACGGAAGCCTCGCACGAAACATCGATTTTGAGGTAGCAAATTTAGAGGTTCCTTAGAAAACTCGTAGGAAAACGTCGATTTTGAGGCATCAAAGTGTCAAAATTGGAGGAAGTCTCGCACGAAATGCTCGTTTTGCTGCTCCCACGTGTCTCGTCTCGAGTTTCTGGTTTTCCTGTGGACTCGCCGTGTCTATGGAGGAAGCTGCAAAACCTCTGCTTTTCGAAGGTTTCCAAGCGGGTTGTCATGTCGTTTTGCGTGGCAGGCGTGGCACTTTGTGACATTCCAAACCGTTTTATACATTCCACACTCTACACTTTACACTTTACACTCCACACTCCACACTCCACCACCCTCCACCACACTCCACACTCCGCACTCCACAATCCTCACTCCACACTTTACACTTCGCACTTTACACTCCACACTTTACACTCCACACTCCACACTCTACACTCTACACTTTCCACTCCACACTCTACACTCTACACTTTACACTTTACACTCCACACTTTGCACTCTGCACTTTACACTTTACACTCTACACTTTACACTCTACACTTTACACTCTACACTCTACACTCCACACTTTACACTTTACACTGTGCACTCCACACTCTACACTTTACACTCCTCACTCCACACTCCACACTCTACACTCCACACACCTCACTCCACACTGCACACTGCACACTCTACACTTTACACACACTCCACGCTCCACGCTGTACACTCCACACTCCTTACTTTACACTCCACAATCCACACTCCACACTCCACACTCGACACTTTCCACTCCACACTCCACACTCCACACTCCACACTCCACACTCCACACTCCACACACTACACTTTACACTCCACACTCCACACTCTACACTTTACACTCTCACACTACACTTTACACTCAACACTCCACACTATACACTTTACACTCCTCACTCCTCACTCCACACTTTACACTCCACACTTTTCACTCCACACTCCACACTTTACACTCCACACTTTACACTCTGCACTCTACACTCCACACTTTACACTTTACACTGTACACGCCTCACTCCACACTGTACACTTTACACTCCACACTTTACATTCCACACTCTACATTCCACACTCTACACTTTCCACTCCACACTACACACTCTACACTCTACACTTTACACTCCGCACTCCACACTTTACACTCTACACTTTTCACTCTACACTCCACACTTTACACTTGACACTCCTCACGCCACACTCCTCACTCCACACTTTACACACCACACTCCACACTCCACACTTTACACTCCACACTCTACACTTTACACTCTACAGTCCACACTTTACACTGTACACACCTCACTACACACTTTACACTCCGCACTCTACACTCTACACTTTACACTCCACACTTTACACTGTACACTCGTCACTCCACACTTCACACTCCACACTTTACGCTCCACACACCTTACTTTACACCCCGCACTCCACACTCCATACTCTACACTCCACACTCCACACCCCACACTCCACCACACTCCGCACTCCTCACTCCACACTCCACACTCCACACTTTACACTCCACACTTTACACTTTACAGTCCACACTTTACACTCTACACTCCACACTCCACACTTTACAGTCTACACTCAGCATTCTACACTTCACAGTTTCCACTCCATGCTTCGCACTCCACACTTTACACTTTCCACTCCACACTGTACACTTTACACATTCTGCACTCCCCACTCCCCACTCCACACTTTACACTCCGCACTCCTTACTCCTTACTCTACACTCCACACTCTACACTTTCCCCTCCACACTCCACACTCTACACTTTACACTCCACACTTTACATTTTTCACTCTACACTTCACACTTTACATTTTACACTCCTCACTCCACACTTTACACTCCATACTCCACACTTCCCCTTTACACTCCACACTCTACACTCTACACTCCACACCCTACTCTCTACATTCCACACTTTACACTCTACACTCTACACTCCACACTTTACACTTTACACTTTACACTGTGCACTCATCACTACACACTTTACACTCCTCACTCCACACTCTACACTCCACACTCTACACTCCACACTCCACACTCTACACTTTACACCCCATACTCCACTCCACACTTTACACTCTACACTTTACACTCTACAGTCCACACTCTACACTTTACACACTCTACACTCTCCACTCCACACTTTACACTCCACACTCCTTACTTTACACTCCACACTCCACACTCCACACTCTACACTTTCCACTCCACACTCCACATTCTACACTTTCCACTCCACACTGCAGACTGGCAACAGGGGAAATGTGTACAAGACTGTTCAAATAAACTATTGCAGAACGGTGCTCTTTGTGACTGCATATCCATGTGTTTCGACATCTGTGCCATTAACATACGTGTGAGCATTCGGGTTAGTGGGCTGCATCTTGCTTTGATCTATCTGACTCTATTCTGATTATACCTTATTCTATTTCATCATATCCTTGTGTTTGTCCATCACACACACATACATATATATTATTATATATATATATACACATTGTGTCTTGTTCAGTCCTTTCTTGTCTTGTATGTTTTAAACAAAATATCTTATGGTATATTATTCATGATAATTTACGTCTGATGCTTGTCCTATCATCCTATTATCCTATCTTGTGTTTTACATTTGTTCATCATCCACCCATCCACCAGCTGCCTAGCATTTCTCCAATCTATCGATGTATCTACCTATCCATTTACCTATCAATCCATCCGTGATCTGTTTGTACATGCATGTATGCACGTGCGTATGTGTATTTGTATACAGGTGCTTCTGGTCAATTTATTGTAAAAATACTGTATATACACCCATTTTTACTGCCAGAACGCGCGCGCGCACACAAAGGAGATTCGTACCACTTCCATACTGGCTTGGAGCTCTGTGACTTCATCATGCTTCATTATTTAAAAATAATCTGATAGTTTTGCTTTGTCGGAGTGTAAGGTCTTGCGGAGAAGCACAGGGAGATCACCACGACTTTGTTTATTTTAGCTAAAACCAGTCCTTATTTTCGAGAGATTTGCGGTGTGATTTGCGCACATCTAAGGAGTGCAATCACCACATCTCCCTCCACGCTGGCACTCTTTTGGCCAGCTTTGAGGGAGAATCAACTCCTAAAGACCCGCCTTCGCCAGAGCAGGCCACGGAGGGAGTGAGGCTGAACACCAAATGTAGACTCGAAATGCCATCCTGCTAGTGACTATTCAGTAGGATTCAGTTGTGTTTGAGCGCTTTCAGAAACTTTCACAAAGAGTAGCCCCAGAGGCCTTTTGATTTGTTTCGAGCCAGGTCTTTGTGGACGCGCTGTCCGTTGTGAGCTGCGTGGTGTTGAAGGGTGTGATGAAACGGGATTACAATCTATCGCCTGAGCAATGTGCAACTTTCAACCCACGCGACATCCGTCAAGAGCGTATTGGTCGATCAATGGCCATGTTCAACCGCGACAAGGAGGAGGGCCAGACAGGCTCAGTAGTGCGCAACAGATTCCCTGCTGCTGAATGGTTGGAGAAGCTCCTGCCTTTGGTGGAGCGTTTCTCCCAACCTGCTGAGATTGCAGCTTACATCCGTGAACTTACAGATGCAGATCCGTGGGATGATAGCCGTACCAGGCACGAACACAAAATTGACGCCTTGGAAGGACGACGGGGACGTCGGGTGGCCTTGCCAAAAGCATCACCCAGAGGCCGCGGCCGAGGGCAAGCAAAAAAGCAGGAGAAGAAGAAGGGGAGGAGGTCGGGGACTTGGAGTGTTTTGCAATAAAATGGCAGGTTGTTTTATTTGTTTCACGGTGTCATCAATAAGCGGCTAACAAGCGGGCTTGCTATTTTTGGGTCAGTCGACAGTCAGTTTTTCCTTTCAGGCCTTTGCCTCTAGTATTCTCACTTTCACTGCTCACAACTGCTACAGGCGTGGCTATGCGTCTGAAGAAGACTCCGACTACGAGGCCCCTGTGAGCAAGCAGAAGCAAAGCGAATGAAGGGGTGACCCAATGCAAATGCACTAATGCCCACAGAACGCTATCAAGTTTTTTTCCTGAGCCATCACTGCGCCAAGCCAGCAAGTGTTCCATAGTTTTCCTATGTGTGCTCAGATCCTGTCTTCTCAAGAGACAGTTGCAGCAGAAAAACCACTCGCCATTATATATTTGAATGTTCCAGCTTTCCCTGATTCCGGTATCCGCAGTATAGATGAAGCCAAATTCTTTTGCCATTTAACCCACCTTGATCAGGGGCCAAACCGCAAGCGGCCACGTGCCCGACGAGAGGCAGCGCCTGGCAGGATGTACCTCAGGAAAAACTGAATACAGGATTCCCGCTTTGTTTTGTTGCTCAATGTTGCTCCCAACAACCGAAGACTTGTTCCGCAGCTTGGTGCTTTTGCTGCCTTGACTTCTTTTGGCTGACAGGCCGCGCAAAACGATGCAGCAGATGAGGCAAGGAAAGCAGGAGGATGTATGAGGAATACAAAAAAGAGATCCGGGCCTGGCTTGCAGTTGGACGCTCCCAAGCCCAAAGCTCTTGGAATCTCTGGGATGTCGGAGAGATGAGAAGTCCTGTCTGTAATTTTGAGAATAAGAACGTCAACGATAGGCCAATAGGCATTATTTTGATTCAAGAGTGATGGTGAATCCATGTTGGACCCACATATTGGCAAAAGGAGATGAGTCATCCGACCTGCACTTGCACAGGAGTCAGAGGACATGCTGCCGCAGGATGTCGATTGAGATCCAAGGCCACATATGTGCATCCAATGTGAGAGACTGTGATCAGATCCATCTTGTCCGAATGTTCTTGTTGGAGTCCTGGGCACGGATAATATTTATATAACATCTTTGAAGATCAAATCGGTGCATCCTACCCTTTAGCAGAGACGAGCTGTGTGGCAAGATGTGCGAGGGCAAATGTACAGTAGCAATTAAGCCCACTTCTGTGGACAGGCGTTGCGGCTCCTGCTTTCTTTGACCAACGGTTGGCCTAAGCTGATTACTGGCCAACCACAGCATTTTGCTGCGAAAGTGGCAATGGTGTCCTGTGTTTTAAACTTTGAGGAGTCTTCCATTCGCTGCCGGTGCTGCTTGTTTTCCTCTTCCATTGCTGTTCCTGTTTGTCTTCTCATCCTGCAATTCTTGGCCAAGGCTTTCTAGGTTGCCATTTTTGATCCATTTCTCTGTCGTTGACATTGAGTCTGAATGGCAGCCCTGGTGGTGCTAGTAGTGTTTTGGAAAAGGGATTGCATGGACATTGAGAAGACTGAACTACGTCTCTGCTTGGGATCAGAAGGCATCAAATTGTCTTGAGGGGCCGCTGGCCACATATATCGTATTTACATAAAGTTAAGTCACATATACATAAATGTGTATACACACATATGTATATATATAGGTACATATTTACATATTGCAGTTATACACCTATATATGTATATACACAAATGTATATATATATTATATATGGATTGCAAATGGCTTGACTGTTCTGACCGAAGGAAGTTTAGAAGTCAAACTTCCGACAATATGGACAGATGGAAAAGCAGAGGTGAGAAGAGTCAGAGCCAAGAGAAAGAGCCAGAAGAGAAACAGTCAGTAGAAACAAGCTCAAGGTGCGCGAAAAGAAAAATCGCGCAACACTGTGTTTTTCCCAGTGTTTTGAGGCTCAGGAGGCTCGAATAGTAGGCTCGCTAAAGCGGCAGGTGCGGAGCCATCTGGTCAGATGAGAGTAAAAATGCGCAACACACTTCAGTGCCGGAGCATTTTTGGAAGTTGAGATATTCAAAAAGTGCACGGCATTGTGGCGCGAAGAGCATCTCCGAGTAAAAATGCACAAAACGCCTCAGCTTCAGAGTGCTTTTGGAAGTTGGGATGCCGAAAAAGTGCACGCTGTTGTGGCGCGAAGCACATTTTGAAGTCAAAAGGCGCAAAGCACACTGTTCAAAAAGTCCACGGCGTTGTGGCGCGAAGCGCGTTTCAAAGTGTCAAAACTGTTAATAATTGTCGGTTCGGAGCACTTTTGGTAGTTGAGATGTCCAGAAAGTGCACGCTGTTGTGGCGCGAAGCACATTTCGAAGTCAAAATGCTAAAAGCACCACATGCTCGGACATTTTTGGATGTTCGATCGTTATTTTGCGTGACAGGCGCAGGGGAGTCAGCACCTTGCCAAACGCGAGGGTTTTGTAGCAGTTTCAAAAACGATGGCAGGCGTGGGGCATTTGAAAATGATCTGCAAAGATGCATGTCGCGTGGCAGGAGCAGTACAAGAGACATGTTCATCAGGGATGTTAGGAGGTCAGGGCGCTGATTTCCTGATAGAGGTTGTATTTTCGAGCATCAGATCTTGAGGTGTGACAAGTGCAGCACTTTTTCGTGGCACGCGCAATACTTTAGATATATGGAGTGGCAAACTCGAGAAGCGCATTCGCACGAGGCTGTCACCTCAGCACTCAGCTTTTCCATTCTTGAAGGAGGTCTTGCAGAATTGCATCGCTTTGAATGTAGAAAGCTTCCATTTTTGGAGGAAGCCTCACAGAATTGCTGTATTTTTGGTGCTGCCAACTTCCAAATTTGAAGGAAGTCTCGCAGAAAAGCATCGTTTTTCAGCTTTTAACTAGTCTCACAGAATAGCTCCGTTTTCAAGCTTGCAGATAGACAGATACATAGATAGAAACACAGACAGACAGATAGACAGATAAATAGATAGACAGAAAGATGAATAGGCAGATAGATAGACACAAAGACAGATGGACAGATAGATGGATAGACACGAAGAAAGATAACAAGACAGAAAGCTAAACAGAGAGAAAGGCAAAAAGACAGATAGACATATAGATAGGCAGAACAATACATAGACACATAGCGAGACAGATAGATAGATTAATTAGATAGATAGATAGATAGGTAGGAAGATAGATAGATAGATAGATTAGATAGATTAGATAGGATTAGATAGATAGATAGATAGATGAGATGAGATGAGATGAGATGAGATTAGATTAGATTAGATTAGATAGATGGATAGATAGATAGATTAGATTAGATTAGATTAGATTGGATTGGATTAGATTAGATAGATAGATAGATTCGATAGATAGATATATAGATAGATAGATAGATGAGATGAGATGAGATGAGATGAGGTTAGATTAGATTAGATAGATGGATAGATAGATAGATTAGATTAGATTAGATTGGATTGGATTCGATTAGATAGATAGATAGATTCGATAGATAGATATATAGATAGATTAGATTAGATTAGATTGGATTAGATTAGGTAGATAGATAGATTCGATAGATAGATAGATAGATAGATAAATAGATAGATAGATAGATAGATAAGATAGATAAGATAGATAAGATCGATAAGATCGATAAGATCGATAAGATCGATAAGATCGATAAGATCGATAAGAGAGATAAGAGAGATAAGATAGATAAGATAGATAAGATAGATAAGATAGATCAGATAGATCAGATAGATAAGATAGATAAGATAGATAAGATAGATAAGATAGATAAGATAGATAAGATAGATAAGATAGATAAGATAGATAAGATAGATAAGGCAGATTAGATAGATAAGGCAGATTAGATAGATTAGATAGATTAGATAGATTAGATAGATAAGATAGATAAGATAGATAAGATAGATAAGATGGATAAGATGGATAAGATGGAAAAAATGAATAAGATGGATAAGATGGAAAAAATGGATAAGATGGATAAGATGGAAAAGATGGATAAGATGGATAAGATGGAAAACAATGGATAAGATGGATAAGATGGATAAGATCCATAAGATGGATAAGATGGATAAGATGGATAAGATGGATACGATGGAAAACATGGATAAGATCGATAAGATGGAAAAAATGGATAAGATGGATAAGATGGATAAGATGGAAAAGATGGATAAGATGGATAAGATGGAAAAATGGATAAGATGGATAAGATGGATAAGATCCATAAGATGGATAAGACGGATAAGATGGATAAGATGGATAGATAGATAGATATAAATAGATAGATAGAATGAATAGATAGATGGATAGATAGAATGAATAGATAGATAAGATAGATAGATAGATAGATAGATAGATAGATAGATAAATAGATAGATAGATAGATAGATAAGATCGATAAGATCGATAAGATCGATAAGATCGATAAGATCGATAAGATCGATAAGATCGATAAGATCGATAGGATAGATCAGATCGATAGGATAGATGAGATAGATAAGATAGATGAGATAGATAAGATAGATAAGATAGATAAGATAGATAAGATAGATAAGATAGATAAGATAGATTAGATAGATTAGATAGATAAGATAGTTAAGATAGATAAGATAGATAAGATATTTGAGATAGATGAGATAGATGAGATAGATGAGATAGATGAGATAGATGAAGAAGATGAGATAGATGAGATAGATGAGATAGATGAGATAGATGAGATAGATGAGATAGATGAGATAGATGAGATAGATGAGATAGATAAGATAGATAAGATAGATAAGATAGATAAGATAGTTAAGATAGATAAGATAGATAAGATAGATAAGATAGATAAGATAGATAAGATAGATAAGATAGATAAGATAGAAAAGATAGAAAAGATAGATAGGATAGATAGGATAGATAGGATAGATAGGATAGATAGGATAGATAGGATAGATAGGATAGATAGGATAGATAGGATAGATAGGATAGATAGGATAGATAGGGTAGATAGGATAGATAGGATAGATAGGATAGATAGGATAGATAGGATAGATAGGATAGATAAGATAGATAAGATAGATAAGATAGATAAGATAGATAAGATAGATAAGATAGATAAGATAGATAAGATAGATAAGATAGATAGATTAGATAGATTAGATAGATTAGATAGATTAGATAGATTAGATAGATAAGATAGATAAGATAGATAAGATAGATAAGATAGATAAGATAGATAAGATAGATAAGATAGATAAG